TCCCTCCCTCCCTCTCTCTCTCTCTCTCTCTCTCTCTCTCTCTTTCCTTGTTTCTTTTTAGCTTTCTTTAGTACACTGTAGCTGTCTTCAGACACAGGGCATCAGATCCCATTACAGATGGTTGTGAGCCACCATGTGGTTGCTGGGAATTGAACTAGGGACCTCTGGAAGAGCAGCCAGTGCTCTTGACCTCTGAGCCATCTCCCTAGCCTGCATTATGTGTCTTTTAAGGAAGGGCTTAATAGGTTGCACGTCCCCTAATTAATCCCCCTTTAACCTTATACTCAGTATAAGTTGTATAACCTTATACTCAGTATAGTATGTTGTTCTAGATGTTGATCATATTCCATACATTACTGCACACATTTGCAATTTCTTTCCTTTGCATTTGCATAGCTTAACAACATTGTGCTCCAAATAAATGTGTGATAGACAGGAAATAAAATGTATACAACTTCTCCTAGATTTTGGAGCTATTGTCTAAGTAAATGAGTAAAACCACAGTTCATGAATCTGGTTAGGGTTTTCACACTCATTTCAAACCCATTAAAATTTGTTTTATGGGGCTGGAGAGATGGTTCAGCAGTTAAGAGCACTTGATACTTTTGCAGAGGACCCAGGTGCTGTTCTTAGCACTCATAGTTGCAGACAGTTCACAGTTGTTTGTAACTAATTCCAAGGAGTCCAGTGACCTCTCTGGCCTCCAAGAGTACATGGTGCACATACATGCAGGCGCACACATGGAAAAGAGTATTTTAAAAAGAGCTTGTCTCATTTGCCTCCTCTTGAGTCCTAAGTGTAGCAGCAGCCATAGCCTGTGTTCCTGTGACCGACCGTGTCAGACTGGCTCATCATGCTGGCACGCTGCTGAGTTTCAGGCAAGAAAGTACCAGGTCCAGTTATGGCAACACTAGGATTATACTCACTTAGACAGTGATCCTCCAGCGAGCTTAGTACCTCTTCAGAGGCTGTGCCCAGAATGTGAACAGACTCAGTAATGTCTGTCTGTCTGTCGCTGCCATAATACTCCCCCGTACGTATGTACGTGTGTGTGTGTGTGTGTGTGTGTGTGTGTGTGTGTCTGTGTTGAGACAGAGTTTCACTAGGTAGCCCTGGCTGGCCTGAAACCAGCTTTGTAGATCCAACTGGCCTTGCCTTGGAGGCCCTCCTGTCTCTGCCTCCCAAATGCTGGCATTAAAGGTGAGCACCGCAGTGGTCAGCAAGCATCTTCTGTTCTGTTCTATTCTAATGAGCATCCTTGCACTCTGGGACCTGTGCTTAAAAGACTCACATAGAAATCACATACATGAATAGCATCTTCCCCCACATTTTTCCTCCCCAAATCTGCAGAATATTAATAAAGAATCTTTGCAGTAAGGAAGGACCTAGTTAGCTTCAGTTATCAAATCAACACAGCCTAGAATCGTTTTAGGGGATCTAAATCGAAGGATTGCTCAGACCTAATTGGTCTGTGAATGTGTCTGTGAGGGACTATCTTGATTGGTTATTGATGTGGGAGGAGAGCCCAGGCCACTGTGGGCAGCAGTGTGTCTGGGTTGAATAAGATAGCAGGCGGTTGAGCCAGGCAGCAAGCACCATTCTGCCATGTTTCCTGCTTCCATTTTCCAGTCTTGAGTTTCCCTTGCCTTCCCTCAATGATGGACTGACCTGGAAGTGTTGGGTGAACCTCCACTTCCCGCTTCCCATGCTTTATTTGGTCACAGTGTTTTTATCACAGTGACACAAGCAAACTAAAAGGTGTACCCTTTTTCTTTATTAGTTTTCTCTGAGCACTTATCTTTAAACTCCATGGTCCCTAACCCCTATTTGTGGGGAAAATTTAAAAAAGGCCGCCACAGCGGCGCAAGCCCGCCGCCGTGGCGGGTCCCCACATCAGGGAAGAGGATCCTACAGTTCCAGCGGCCTGAGGGCCTTGGCGGCGGCGGGCCCCAGTAACACGAGGAAGTCCTTGGTTCCAAAAAGGTTTATTGACATGACGGATAATAGATGGATCTAGGCGTACCCCCCAAAAACTCAGGGCGTCCCGAGTTATATAGGGAGGGAGAAAGGGGGAGGATTAGGGGAGGATCTGGGGGAGGAATGTTTAATTTGCTCTGCCCTCTGGCCTTCATTAGTATGTAAATCTCTAAGGCCTGAGGCCTATCGCCTGGGTGACTATGGAGATCTGTGACTGTTTTTCAGGATCTTAGGTGATGGGAGGGACCGAACTCCTGCCGGTTCTCATGAGGAATTCCACAGAGAATCTCGGGGTTCTAAGTACCTGCTCAACCATGACCCAGGATACCCTTATGCAGTCCCACACCTATTGTTTGCTTTTGCTTGGACATTTTCACCTACATTGCCATTTTATTTCCTGTTCAGATTCTACTGTTAAAGGCAAGTTGGGTAGCTTCCAAACTGCAAAGCAACTGCTGTCAGTCTTTTCATCATCTTATTCCTATTTTTCATGGTTTTATTCGTGTGTATTGAGAGCACAGAAGGACAGGTTTCATTATGACCTTTTCACACATGCATCTGATGTGCATTGGTCAGCTTAATCCCACTACGAACCTTCTGCCCACATTCCTCCCCAATTTTCCCTGATAGTCCTTCTCCTACTTTGGTTTCCCTCCCCCAATCCCTCACATGAGAGAAAACAT